ATCCTCTCCCTTGTCTTGATTAATTTATGTCTATGGTGTGGCACATCAAGTTTATAACTCTTTAATTTAATTTAATATTATTTAATGCTGTAGATATTTCTATGAAGACAAAGGGATTATTTAACTTTTCTCAGGCACAACAGAATGATGGAGAAATTAATGGTCTCTCTCCCTAGAGTCACTCTTAACCAACTGGGGAGAATTTTGGTGGGAGGATATCCCGGCTGTCCTGTCTGTGGAGATGCACCCTTCCCAGCTCCTTCTCCAACAGCCTACAGAGGCAATGAGTTGTTAGTTTACCATGTAGTTTATCATGTTTACCTGTTTTCTCTTGCTTTCCTCACCCTCTACCCTGGCCTCATTTGGCAGTATCTTAAGAACAGCATCCATTTTTTTTTTTCCTTCAAGCTGTTGTGTTTTGTTACCAACCGAAAGTCCTTACTATTAGCACAGACTCCACGAGTTGAATCCTTCCCAAGACTGCCTCCATGTCAGATATCAGTTGCAGGTGTGGAATGGTCACTAGAACTGCTGACAAGGTGACATGCTGCTGATGAATTTAAGGAGCACACGATGCCCCTTCTTGTGTTTGCCAATTCTCAGAATGGTTCTTGGAACTTACTGATGGTGTCATACTTATAATTAGATTTTTATTATAAAGGGCACAATCCAGGAACAGTCCAATGGAAAATTTGCTAAGGTCAAGATTGTGGTGAGGAGAGGCACAATGACCCTCCATTCATAGGAGTTACTGAGACTCACTCTGTTGCATATGTGGCATTGAAAACAGGTGACAATCACTTAGATTTCTAAAGTAAAGAACAATAGAATGGATGTGCTGCCCATGGTGACCATTAAAATCATGCACAGCCTGGAAATCCTGATTAAGACTTAGGCCTGGGGAGAAGACTGGGTCCATATAGTGCCTGCCACCCTGATGAGACCTGAGTTCGGAGCTTGAGCACCCAGGTAAAAAGTCGGGCATGGTAGAATGTGCCTGTAACCGTAAACCCTAAGCTCCTTAGAACTAGCTGGTCAGAAAGTCTAGACAATTAGAGAGTACTAGGTTCAATGAGAGACCCTTTCTCAAAACCCATGGTGGAGAGTTGTAGTGGCATTTCAATTGTCCCACTGTCTGGCTTCTACACTGTGCTTCCTACATATCTTCACTATCTCCACGGCTTCCACAAATGCATCTCCGCCTCTCAGGCCTGATTTTATGTCCACACTTTACAGAGGACTTTCCCAACTCTATCTTTCTGTCTTCCAACTTCATTGAACATCGGCCTCCAAGCTCTTGCTTTCCTGCGTGAACCTCTGGCCTTCCTCCCTTTTGCACTGGGAGGAAAGCAGTGTACTGCAGCTTTGCCACACACCGCTTGCAACAACTCTGCTTTCTGCAATGATGCTTAATTGTAGGTTTTATTGACAGACTTATGTTATGCCCCCAGGAACCCATCTTGAATCAATTAGAATCAATTAATCACACTGTGATTAACTTTAATTGTGGGATATTTCCTACACCCAGCAAATAACCATTCACATATGTTTCAATTAATATTTTACCCCCCTTTGTTGACAAATGATCTATTGTACTTGAGATTAATTAAATGTTAGCATGGTCCCAATTAACACTGTATCACCAATAAAAGCCTCCTTGACTGTCAATACTAAACCAAATTTGTGACAGTCTATCTTTTACAGTGCACAGCGTGTGTTATCTGAGCACCATGGGGGCTTGGCCTCTTGGTATAGATACTATGTGACCTAGTTGAAATAGGAAACTGCATTTAAAGATATTGAGAGCCTTGAGAATTTTTTACTTTCTCTTGAAATGAAACCTTGTCTACCTAGAAATGTCTCTTATCCTCTGCTTTTTTTTTTGCTGATCCTACAGTTATTAATGTATACAATGGTTTGTTTTCATAAGTTTTTATAACGTGCTTTCATATTTAATAGTTTATATAATATGTAGCCCGGGCTGGCCTCAGACTTGCTGTATAGATGGAGAGAACCACGATTTCCTGAGCCTCCTATTCTATCTCCCTGAGGTCACAGGCCTGAGCCATCATACCTGGTGGAGACAGGGATGAGATCAGACCCAGGGCTGCCTGCATGCTAGGCAAGCGCGCTGGCAGCGGAAGTACCTTGCCTGTTCTTTCTTTCATGTTTTCTTTGCCTACTCATTCACATTCTCCTCTGCCTTGAATGCCTGTTTACCTAAGTGCTGTTGAACTGGAAATTCCAAACTGCTTCTTTTGTTTTCCAATCTCCTCTTCTTAAGATCTCTCTAATTAGGATATGTGGGTCTATTTCGTATGCAAATACTGTTTATCTCTGCCTGTGGGATTGTTTTCAACTCTGTTTTTAGAAACAATTCAGGGTTGGATTTATTTATTTATCTATTATTTATTTATTTAGTGTAGCTGAACTGGGTCATCTGTATGAAATCCACCTTAACCAGGCAAGCAGTGGGTCACAGGACAGATTTGAACTGCATTCTGCATTCAGACATACTCAATGAAGAAGGAGGCGAAAATTTGGGACCTGAAGAGGTTTTTCAAGATTACGTTTGTGAAAAGTCTCACTCTTGTATCTTCTGAACATAGTCATTTCACAGAATGCTGCCTTCTCAGCCATGGGGATTTTCTGAGGGCACCATGGCTAACACGCCACATTTGCTGTGTTTTAATTTGGCCTCTTCTTTGCTTTGGTTACTTGAAAACATATAACATATGAGTTGTTATAGCTAAAAAGACATATCCAACCATCATCAGGCAGTATCCAGAGACTGTAAATACACTGGCCTTTAGTACTGGGCAAAGACCAGGAGAACTAAGCAACTTCTTTGGTACACATGATGGAAACGTAGCCATCATCAGTGTGGAATATCTCAGCTCCTGTCATAGAAGGGGATAACACATGACTATCAATGATCCACACCCCGAACTTTTACACTGATCTTGTTCAGGAAGCTTGCTCTGGAGGTTTGTGTACATGTGTGCCTTGAAGACACATACAAGTACAGAAATAGTTAAAAAAAAAACCCTTTAGGAGCCTTTGAAACTTTGTATTTTTTTTAAAAATTAGTTCTTTGAGAATTTTGGACAGTGGGTTTTGATCATATTCACACCCCAGCGCACTCCTCCCAGATCCATCCTCCTTTCTCTACCCATGCAACTTTGTATCCTCTTTGTAATTTACCTACCAGGTCCAAAGTGTGCTTCTCATATGTACATTTATGTGTGACCTTCCACTGACTCGTAGTCAACTTACTAGGGGTCAACCTACTCGGGACACCACTCTTTTCACTTTTAATTCTTATTTCTTAAATTAAAATATAATCATAAAATCTTCCTCTCCTTCTCTTCCTCCAATCCTTCTCAAGTGTCCCTTCATTACTCCTTCTTAAATTTATGACCTCCTTTTCTCTAATTATTCTTGTTACACATTAATGCATCTTGCATATCCAAACATATAAACACAGCCTGCTGGGTCTACTCAGTGTTGTGTGTATATAATGTTTTCAGGGATGACTCCTGGTACTTGGTAGCCAATTACAGAACTCTTTCACAGGGCTTGTGCTGCTAAAATTGCTGTGGCTTATACGTGCAACTACCTTGCTGTATCAGGAAGACACTATTTCTTTTTATCCACCCACCCCCTCTTTAAAAATGATTTCCGAGCCTTGGGAGGAGGAATTGTGGTATGAGACGCCCCATTTAGAGCTAAGCATCCCACGGTCTCTTATTCTCTGCCTGTGACCCGACTAAACACAGGCTCTTGGTGTGACACTGGTGCCAGGAATGGATTTCAACTTGTTGAGCAGGATTTAAATTCAACCGGATGGAAAATGGTTATTCCACAATAACCATGCCACTATTGCGCCAGAGGGCATGGCTTTCCAAGCCAATGGTTACAGCAGCTTGTAGGGTTCAGAATTGGGCAAGATAGATGACTACGTTTTTTTTTTTTTTTCTGTGTTAGCATGCACAGCACCTTTTGGCATTATGAAAACTAGTCAGCAGGAATAAAAATTACAGTGAAAATCACTAGCTTGAAATGTCTGTTGACTTGACTGAGAGGTTTCTGTCCCACCAGGTCCCACATCTGATTAGTCCCAAATAAATACACAGAGGCCTGTATTAATTATAAGCTGGTTAGCCTATTAGCTCAGGCTTCTTATTAACTCTTATAGCTTTTATTAGCCCATTGTTCTTGTCTGTGTTAGCCATGTGGCTTGGTACCATTTTGGTGAGGCAGTCACATCTTACTTCCTCTGTGTCTGGATGACGACTGTAGACTGCCTCTTTTCTCTTCCCAGAATTCTCCTGTTCTCATTGCCCCGCCTCTACTTCCTGCCTGGTTACCCCTCCTATACTTCCTGCTTGGCTACTGGCCAATCAGCATTTTATTAAAAATAATACAAGTGACAGGATAAAAAACCATTGTCCCACACAATGTCAATGTTTTTATTTATTTATTTATTTATTTTATTACAACTCATTATAATTTATTAAGCAATGTTTTCTTTAAAACCTGAAAAGAAAAAAATATATATACATAAAACCCTTCACCAAAAGTTATTATTCAGAAAAATAAAAGTTCTTTCTGGATGTGAACTCGTGGCTACTGAGATGACAGGAATCTGATGTGATACTAGAAACTGCTTCTTGTCCTTTCGTTGGCAACCTGTATTCTATTGTTCAAACAAACAGAACAACCAGAGAGGTCGCTAGACCATCTGTATGCCAGCGAGGCTCCATTGCACTTCTGTCCTTCCGTTAGAAAAGGCAGATCATTTACCACTGTCCACTCTGCTAACCAGTGTCCAACCGATGGCCACACAGCTCTTCTGAGTTTAAGTGGGCAAACATTCTGACCATCTCATGGTGCTTCACTTCTTGAGTGTGCCGTCCCCATCAGACAGTGGTCTACACTGGATCAAGGCTTCCAATTGCGCAAAGACATCCCAAAGCGTCAAGTATTCCCAGCCTACTTTAGGGAGTTTTGGGGGCTTGTCTCAGCTGCTGCAGACCTTGTCTTATGTAGTGCACCAGGTCCTCCAGGCTGCTGTTGAGGGTCAAGATACGCACCTTTGTGCTGAGCCGAGCAAAGAATTCCTTATTCTTCTTTGTAAGGTCCTCTGACTGTTCCCAGAGTTCCAAGGCTTTAAGGATGTGGTTTGTGATGGTGAAATAGGCAGAGGTCATGTTCTGAATGGCGACTGGGACACTGACAGTGGCCATCATCCCACCAGCACTTGACTGGGACCTGACAGAGTTGGCAGGAGAAGGCACTGGGGAGAGTGGGGTCGAACCACCTGTGCATAGAGAAGGCGCCTGGGCTACGTTGGAGGAATTCTTGAAGTGGTCACTAAGAGTGTGAGAATACTTCATTACTATGTCCTTTTTACAGCGAAACATCGCCATGTTCACTAGTGACTGGCAACGTAAACATAAAGCGGCAAATACCTTTCCTTGTGCTGGCACCGTGGCATCCGAGAAGGATTTTAATGACATCGTGAACTTAATAAGGTCTGCGGTTTCTGAGTAGACAGCGTACGCCGACTTTGCTGAGCTTTCTAACTCCATGGCCATCCCACACTCAATTAAAGACAGGATGGCTTCCAAATACTTGAAGGCCTTTCTGATCTTGTCCGTCATTATCTCTGCTTTATACTTCAACCTTCTAGCTTCCTTCATGTGAAAATCAGCTTGCTGTCTGTAAGATGTCACTTGTGGCTTCCCTGGTTTACAGTTACCATTTGGCAAAGAAGACACTAGGAATGTGTTTGTGGCTTCTCTAGAAGACTCTTTGTATTCTGAGTCCTTGGCCTGAACTTTTGGCACTTTTTTGTGCCTGGGAACAGAAGAGTCCTTGTCACTGTCCCTGACACTGCCGGCACTTTTGGGAGGGTCCTGACCACGGGTGTCTACATCCGGCTTTGGCTTCTTGTGTGCAGCTTTGGTTGACTTCTGGGAGGAGGAAGAGGCGGACACAGGTGGCAGAGAAGACATTTCTTTCTTTGAGGACTCTGAGGAGGGTTTGGAAGTCTTTGTTTTGGAAGATTCAGTATGGGAAGAGGAAGATGAAGCACAGTGTGACTGGGCATCCTTCTCCCATCTGATTTTCTTGCTGGCACGGTCTTTTTCTGAGTCGCTGCCCTTTCTCTTTTTGCTCAGTCTGCTGAAGCTGTTGCCGTCTCTCTTCTCAGAGTCTTGCTTCTTATCTACTGGCGGCTGCTTGTCTTCTGCTTTCCTAGGGCTGCCACCTTTCCCCAGGGGCTGGGGAATCCGAGTAAGATGATCTAGTTTTATCTTCACTATCTTCAACGAGTTTGGTAGTGAAGTGTCCCGGAGTGGTGAGAGCAATTCGGTGTCTCTCTTTTGGCCGTCCTCCTGGACATTCGCAGTCTGTTGGCAGTCGCTAGACCTGCCACTGCTGCTGCCACTGCTGCTCCTACCACTGTGGGGTGGAATGAAGGAGTTCCTGTTCCCAGCTTTGTCCTTTGGAGGCTGAGGGCCTGAGGGCGCCTTGGAGAGAGCTGGGGAACCCTTGTGCTTAATCTTCTCCTTAGGGGCCAGCAGGGCTGCCTGATGCTTGGGCATGAGAGCTTCAGGCTTAGGCTCCCTGCCTTTCGTCTTCACCTTGGGTTTGTCTTTGGTAGTCTGTTCTTTTGAGTCAGAAGAAAGGGGTCCTGGTTTACTTTCCACCTGCAAGCAGGCCTGGGGCTCTACCTGGCCAGAGCCCTTGGCAGGTTTTCTGGGTTGTTTGGTACCAATAGTTTGCCGAGGTGGGGGCTCCTGTTGGGCAGGGGATTTCTGGCAGCTCCTCTCCTCAGGTTGGGGCCCTTCAGTGGCATCTTGGACGGCTTTGCTGGAAGTCTTCAGGGGAGAGCCTTTGGACTCAGGGTGTAGCTGGTCAGTGTTGCGGTTTTCACCCTTATTTTCTTGGGGCCCGCTTGGAGACTCAGTACTCCCCAGAACCTCGAGGGGCACTGGTGGCTGCTTCACTTTGGTTAACCAGTTTGTTGTCCAAGGCTCGGGCTCTGGAGCGGGGATTTCTAGGGGCTCACTCTCCTTGCTGTCACGTGAGTTGCTCTCACTCTCTGAGTCTGTCTCGGAGTCTGAGTCTGAATCTGAGTCCGACCCGCTGCTGCTGCTGCTGCTGCTGCTGCTGCTGCTGCTCTCCGACTCTGAATTACTGGAATGTGCTGACACCACGGGCTCGGGGAGCGTCTGGGGAGCGCTTAGAGGTGCAGATAGGGATGGAAGCTTCTCTTCAGCTTGTTCAGTGTCACTGTCTTCACTGTCGCTGACCTGCAGGTCCTCCCAGAGTATGGACAGTGCTTGCTGGGAGTTGGGATGGATTTTGGGAGGCGGATCATATTGATTTTGGCTTTGGGTTGCAGAACTATTGGGCAGAGGCTCCTTTGTAGGGAAAGGAGATCTGGGTGAGTTGGACATACTGGGTGTGTGCTTGGCTGTCAGAGGAGGGAGCCACGAATGGGTCATTTCCTTCAGAATCTCTTCAATGCAGCGAACTTCATTGGAGAACAACTGCTCCACCGATTGTGAAGGTATCTTCAGTCTGGTGAGTTTGGCTTTGGCTAGCACTTTTACATCCGGTTTTTCAAAGCTCTGCTGACCATAGTCTTCCAGTGGCGGCTTCAGCTCCGAGGACTCACTGGGGGCCTGATTCTGACCATCCGTGGGCTTCTGCTGCATTGCAACACTTTCTGAGGGGAGAGGAGGGGGTGGAAACGTTTGAGAAGACGCTACCCCAAATCTGGTAACTTCCTCTAAACTGTCAAGAGGAGTCTCGTTATCTTGAGCCTTCACCTTCAGGTCCTTGGAAGACACATCTGCACAATAACTTTTATTGCTAGTGCAACCGCTGCTGTAAACCTTGCTGGTTTCTTGCAGTCTGGAATGTACAGGTGACAAATGGGATACAGGGGAGATTAAGGGTGAGAGCTTTTTCCCCGGAGCTGAGTCACCATTAGCTCTGCGGTCACACTTTCTGTAGTTAACAGAGTGCCCCTCCTGACTGAGGCGATCTTGAGTCAGATGCTGTTTGTTGGGTGAACCATAGTTTTTGGCATGGCGACTTGGCACTGGCTCCATCCTTGGTGGCGCCATCTTTGAACTGTGGCTAATGTTACCAACAGAAGGTGATCCAGGGGGAGAAGTACAAAAAGGCTGGTGGTAGATGTGTGTGCAGAAGGAATAGGATGCAGAACTCTCCCTGTCATGAAATGAAGGATATTTTGGCTTCCCCTGGCTGTCTTCAGAACCATCTTGACACTGAGGGCAAGACACAGTGCTCAATAACGTCTTCTTCATTTGTTCGTAGTCTCCTAGTATTTTCTGTATCAGACTCGACAACTCATCGCTTTTTTCAGTCTTGTAGGGCTCTCCAAATAGTGGCATCTTCTCAGCAACCACCTCTTTCTCTGGATGAGCTTCTTGGTTGCATTTCTCCTTCTCTTGAATCCGAAGAAGGTTTCTATTTTCATTGTACAAGCTACTGCTGTCCTTGAATGCCATTAATGTTGGTCGGTGGAAGGTGCTCATTTTCCAGGCTCTCTGGTGACTCATTTCTCAGTCACGTCTGAGGTGTCTGTGTCACCTGCCTTGACCTGTAGGAACAAGAGTTCGACTCTAGAACTGTGGGAGCCGACGGTGCAGGCCGCACTTCGGCGCGTGCAGGCTGTGAGCCGAGTGCACGGGGCGCTGCCAGCAACTGATTTGCCAGCTTCCGGCATTGGTCACCCAGAATGCCCCAGGCCCAGGCCACGCCCTCTGTGCCAAGCCACACCCATAGCTTCACCCCACCCCCACCTGGCCCCAAATGCCCACGTTTTATGACTCAAGTATGTGGAGCTTTTGAATTTACGGAGGGTGTTTGCAGAAGGGTTAGTTGCTACAGAGGCCTCTTTAGATGCTGTAGTCTCCCCATCTCTCCTGCTTCAGTTCACATTCATTCCTTAAAGATTACTGAGAAGCAGGAGAGATTGCTCAGTGGATAAAAATAGTTGGTGTGAAAACAGGAGGACCTCAGATTGTCTTTAGCACCCATTCAAAAGCCTAGCATAGACACACATATCTGTAACCCAAGTGTTGTGGAACATTGCCAAGCAGATTCCAGAAGCTCAACAGTCAACCAGTCTAGCCCTAATAGCAAGCTTCCAGTTCAGTGAGAGACCCTGTCTCAAAAAATAAGGTGGGATGTAGGAAGACACTTGACATCTGTCTCTAGCTCCTATATGTGTGCACATACCACACTAATACACACATACACATACTTTATACATGATTAATTGAGCAACTACAGAGATCAAGAATTAACCTACAGGGATCCTGTAGAGCCTTCCATGATAAATTAGAACAGAGGGAAGGAGCCGAGTGATGCGTCTGTCTAAAGGAGAAAGGAATGGGAATCAGGGAGCATGAGTGCTGTGCAGGGAGGTGAGTTGAGCACGCAGAGAAAGGAAGATGTCTTAAGGACCAGAGAAGCAACTCCCTCCTTCCTCCCACACTCATACCCTGCCCCCTTTCTCCCACCCGGCCAGGCAGTCGGAACACAGAAATAATCCTGGATCCCGCGGGAAGAGGAGCAAATGCTCAGCACTGCACCGCGAGACTGCACCCGCTTGCTAAGCACACCCCTGCAGCACTTGTGCCTGTGAAATGCATTTCACGGCTCATCTGTTCCCTAAATGAGATGTGAAGGCAGTTTACACCTCGTTCACATTTGCGCTGTTTTAAGGAACAGTATAGATGCCACTCCACCCAAGAAAAGAAATGAGGTCAGCCGCTCCCTTCTCTCTATGGAGTGCCTCCACTCAGCACCTCAGACCCTCCCAGGCACACAGGAACCTAAGCATGGGGTTGGGCAGGTACATCAGCCACAAGATAGGTGCTGAGAGCAGCGGCCATGGTGTTCCTTTGATGTGGGGGATGGGTAGCCCTTCTCTAAGCCAACACTATGTTCATGGTGTCTAAGTTATTCAAATAGAATGCAGAGATTTTGAATGTACCCTTAGAAATTTCACTTTGCATATCCTCTTACCTGAGTACGTGAGAACTGTCCTAATGGTTCATGCTCCTCTGCTGTCATGAGTGTTCTCTTAAATGAGCACTGTGGTGACATTTATTTCCATAGACCCATTGTGCTATTCCAGAATTTCATATACACGAAATAAATAGTGTGTGCTTTTCTTTCGGGTCTGCTTTGTTTTGCTCACAGGATGCCTGTGAGGGTTGTGAATGCAGCCCTATGGCCCCACGGCTCATCCCTTTGAATGATTTTTTTTTTTTTTACTGTCCTAAATCCTATCTCTTTTTTGCATGTCCTGATCCTGACTCTGATCTAGAATTCACTATACTTGACAGAGCACAGTACATTTTCCACCCCGGTTATTTACCTGCAGAGTGTAAGGCCTTCTGCCCTTCTTCCTCCAGAGGATAGATCATGTCGCCATGTTTAGCAAATTGCTATCTATATGTCGTTTCTAAGTTTTGTGCTTTGAAAGCACTGAGGCATAGGTTTTCCCACACCAATTTTTGTTCCTTAGTGACGGTAGCTGCCCATCTCTGTAGCACAAATTCTAATTGTCCTTTATAGTCAGTACTGAGTGTCAAAGCAGGGGTTAAAGCTGAAGATCAGAGAAGCAAAGCAGTAAACCGCAAGAGATCACTTACCTCTATCCAAGATCAGACCAAGATGGGTGATCCGCAGACTTCCTAGACGGAACTGTGTCTCCACCAAATCTCATACTGTATGCTCTGAATGCATTGGAGGTCCTGTCTCCTCCTGCCTTATATAGCTCTCTCTGCCCCGCCCTATTTCTTCCTGACTCCACCCACCTAATTCTGGGATTAAAGGTGTGTTAATCCCAAACACTAGGATTAAAGGCGTGAGCAACCTGTTTCTCGGTTTAATTGAATCAATTTCAAGTAGGCCGGATTAACCTTGAACTCCCAGAGGTCTGTCTGCCAGTCTCCTGAGTGCTGGGATTAAAGGTGTGTGCCACTACTGTCCGCCCTCTTTGGCTAACTTGAGGTAGCCCTGCACTCTAACTTCCAGGCAAGCTTTATTTCTTAGATTTACAAACAAAATATCAACATATCTCTCTTTCCCATGTCCTCTTGTGGCTTGACTTTCTCATGTTGCCATGCTAATGGCCTTACCTCAGCCTTCCTCGGGACTATGCAAATGTTTGCTTGTTTCAGCTGGTCACATAAAATGTCTCCTTACATTATTTGTATTTATTTTTCTTTTTTCATTTTTTTGACGCAGGATCTCACTATACAGTCCTGGCTGACCTCAACTCATTATGCAAATTAGGTTGACCTTCAAACTCACAGGGATCTTCCTGTCTTTGCCTCCAGGATGCAGGGATTGAAGGTGTGGGCCAATTATTATTATTATTTTTTTAAAAATTTAAAATTAAAAGTACTAATTGCTCTTCATAAAACATTTATCACCCAGAGATATAAGTTGAGCCAAATTCCATTTTCTAGAAATGAAACTAAAATCAGAGGTAACAATAGATTTTGATTAAAACCACTTAAACCTCTCTCCATTTCGTACTCAGATACCTGATGATATATCTAGGTATAGGTTTTAAAGAACTGCTTTGAACAATTCAACATAAATTCATTTGAAATGACTCTCTTGTTATGCAATGGAAGACATACATGATAAAATACATTAGTCTCAAAAGATTCTTTTTATGTACATTTCAAATGACATTTGACCTGCATAATTTGACTTTGGAATGTATCTCTAGAAATCTGTATTATAAGAATTAAAAAACACACTCAAACACACTCTTTGTGAACCTCAACGCTTCTAACAGTTTTAGTATCTGATGTTTTAATGCTAAGTTTTGTAATATTGGTTTCTATGCTTATCAGTTTCTATTTTTAAAAATATCATCAGCATTTCACCTCAGCATTTCAATTTTATTTCTTTATTTTGATTTATCACCACATATATGTATGTGTATATACACTATACATGCATGCATACATATATATTATCCTAATAGCATTTCTCATGGAGGGCTTATTGATGTGGGATTTCCCTCAGTATGCTGTGAATATGTTTTATTACCGTTGGTTAATAAAGGCCTGCTTCAGCCTAATGCAGTGTAGAATAAAGCTAGGCAGGAAATCTGAACAGAGATATAGAGAGAGAGTAGGCAGAATCAGGGAGATGCCATATAGCTAGCTACCATAAGACACACACACACACACACACACACACACACACACACAGAGAGAGAGAGAGAGAGAGAGAGAGAGAGAGAGAGAGAGAACTCTATGTATATTCCTCCACCACAGAACTGTATGTGTATGCTCAATAAATACACACACAACTATATGTAACGTTCTTTTTCTGTTGTAATATCTATTTTATTCTTTCTCATATATATTACATATAATTTCTATATCATGATGAAGGCAACTAACAGAAAAGGAGTTTATTTGGGCTTATTAGAGGGTTCAAGTCCACGATGACAGAGAGAGGCAGTAAGACGCAGGCATGGAGGCTGGAGCAGAGGCTGAGAGCTCGCATTTCCAACCAGAAAGAGTGAACTGGAAAAGGCTTGAGCATTTAAACTCTCAAAATCCATCCTCCTCATCAATGATTACCACTTCCAGCAAGGCCACCCCCCAGAACTTCTAGTTCTTCAACTTACTGGTCTCCTAGCTGGGAATTCGCTCAGTCGCTGGGCTTTCATCTCTTCACTGGCCTTGCTCATTTCCCATGCTGGGACAACCTGGTCCAAAGGTCCACACATTTATGCTTCCTTCTGGAAATTTAAATCAGTTCTTTGCTTCACCTCTGATTTTTTGATGTTTAAAACAGAGGAAAGTCACCCAGATGAAACACTTTGCAATTCCCTCAAGAGGATCTCGAGCCCTCAAGCTTCTCCTGTGTGCCTTTCATCCCAGAGACTGCCACCACAGGTCCTCCAATTGTCCAGTTTTAGCAGGTGTGTGTAGGTGGAGTTCAAAGTTCAAAGTAACTGAGATCACACATTCCAAAAAATTACCGCCAAGTTAATGGCTTTAAATTGCCAGTATCTGGTCAATAGTGTGATGGAATTAGAAACAAAAGCGGTGACCACTAATGACCACACTATACCTTCATCTCTCAACCTTAATCCAACCTCCCTAGACCACAGAGCACTGATACAGTAAGAATTATCCACATGCATAAGCAGCAAGAGTGTAATGATCATAGCATAGCCATTTCTGCTAATGATTTCAGCGTTCAGTCCCAGGATGAGATAGAACTGTAACACTAATGAGCTTCTTAGGGTTTCCAGTCCCATCAATAGAAAGTTGGCTTGGTTCCAGAGCTAGGCAAGGCTGAGAGGGCCACCCGGGGCCACCATCTGAAGAGAATCATCCCATCTACGTGATATTTCACCCCTGCTGATGTCAGGGTGGCTTCATTGTTGGTGACTTTGAAATGGTGCCTGTGTTGCTAAAGCACTTAGACGGGGGAGGGATTAACGACCGTCCGCCATGACATCTGACCGAAAGATTCTCACCGG